AAAAACGAACTCAAAATGGCTCAAAGACATAAATGTAACAGCTAAAACCATAAAAGTCTTAGAAGAAAACATAGGGGAGAATCTTCTGGACATTGAATTTAGCAATAATTTCTTGGATATAACACCAAAAGCATAGACAACACAATAAATAATAAATTTTATTTCATCAAAGGCACTGTCAACAGAGTAAAAAAAAAAAAAAAAAAGCCACAGAATGGAAGAAAATTTTTGCAAATCATCCGATAAGGGACAAACAACCAGAATATAAAAATAACTCCTAAAAATTGACAGCAAAACAAAACAAAACAAAACAAAAACACAAAAACCCAATTCAAGAATGAACAAAGAATCTGAATAGTCATTACTCCAAAGAAGATATACAAATGGCCAGTAAGCACATGAAACGATGCTCAACATCACTAATCACTAGGGAAATGCAAATCAAAGCCACAATGAGAAACCACTTTGCACTATTACAATGACTATTATTTTAAAAATGGAAAATCACAGATGTTGGCAAGATTGTGGAGAAATTAGAAACTTTGTGCATTACTGGTGGAAATGTAAAATGGTACAGCCATGGCGGAAACAAGTTTGGTAGTTCCTCAAAAAGCTAAAAACAGAATCACCTTATGATCCAGCAATTCCCCTCCTAGTTAATATACTCCAAAGAATCAAAAGCAGGATTCCAATAGGTATCTGTACACCATTTTCATAGCAGCATTAATCTTAATAGCTAAAATGTAGAAACCACTCAAGTGTTCATTAACAGATCAATCAATAAACACGCTTGGTGCGGTGGCTCACGCCTGTAATTCCAGCACTTTGGGAGGCCAAGGCAGGAGGCTTGCTTGAGTCCAGGATTTCAAGACCAGCCTGGATAACATAGAGAGACCTCGTTTCCACTAAAAATAAAAAAAATTAGCCAGGTGTGGTGGCATGCATCTGTAATACCAGCTACTTGGGAGGCTGAGGAAGGAGGATTACTTGAGTCCAAGTGGTCTAGGCTGCAGTGAGCCATGACTGTGCCACTGCACCCCAGCCTGGGTGACAAGGCGAGATCCTGTCTCACAAACAAACGAACAAAACAAATAAATGGATAAACAAAATGTGGTGTACCCATACAATGGAATATTATTCAGCTATAAAAAGGAATGAAATTCTGATACACACTATCACATGGATGAACCCTGAAAACATTATGCTAAGAGAAATAAAACCAGATACAAAATAACAAATATTTCATGATTTCACTTATAGGAGGTATCTAGAATAGGCAAATTCACAGAGACAGAAAGTAGAACAGAGGTTACCTGGGGCTGGAAACCTCTGTTTTTAGCTTTTTGAGGAACTGCCAAATAGGAATACAGTGTTTAATTGATAAAGAGTTTCATTTTGGGATGACGGAAAACATTCTGAAAGTGCATAGCAGTGACGGTTGTACAGCAAAGTAAATGTATTTAATGCCCCCTGAACTGTACACTTAAAAATAGTTAAAATGGAAAAGTTTAGTTGTGTCTGTTTTACCACAATAAAAAATAAACTAAAAAAGAAAACACCACTTTGGCTGCTGGGAAAAGTGAGCTGGAGAGAGGCAACTGTGCCATCAGAGGAAGCTGTTCTGCAGAGAGGAGAATGATACTGACACAGAGAAATGTAAAGACAAGAAAGCATATGGACCAGAGAGAAAGAAAACAGTGGCTTGCTGGCTTTCCATCACATGAGGCGCAGCTGCACTTCCCTTCCGTGAGATTCACCCATATCCTTTCAGTGAATTGCTTTATACTTGACCTAGAGTGAACAGATCTCTGTTCAGGAAACAATCCCTGGTTAAGGCAGGGACACAGCTGAGATCCAGATACAACACAGCCTGGGGACACAGTGTGAGGCTACTGGTTTCTAAAGCAAAGGCTCCGTGAGAGCAGAAAAATGGTTTTGCTTCTCTCCCCTCACTCTCAGTGACTTGCACAGTGCCTGACACATGGACGACCCTCAACAAATATGTGTTGAAAGAATGCTAAGTAGCTCTCCCACGAGTCTGTCAAGATCTGGGTTTCCACCTTCTCATCACCAAACTAAGGCAGGATGGAAACCTAGAGAACTAAGCCCTAAGTCTTCTCTCATTACTGATACGAATGGCCGAGCTTCATTCTTCACAAGACTTGTGACTTGTTCAAGGTCAGGAGAAGTTCATGCTAACATTTCAATTTTATATAATCTTATGTGCCTTTCTGAAAAGTCTGAGTTCCAAGACGCCCAACACTTATTGGGTTCCCAACAATTTTCATCACACCAGGCGTAAGAAAAGTCAAACTCATTTTTTCATAAACATATGACACATAATGGTTTGTAATTTAATAATACTCTGTTGTTCAGAAGTGAGAGGAAACATCACTCTCCTTTTAAAACACTGCAGTCAGAATTTCAAGAGATCCTCAGACAACAAGAGTGGAGATCTGCTCATTTCACTTTTCCCAACCTTTCCAACCACCAGCTCACATCATTTTTAATATGGGAAAATGAGGAATGACCTAATTTTACAAAATTTATACAGATAATCATTTATCACTCTGTTGGCCTATCATATACCCATTAAAATATGACTCTGAAGACTATATGAGAAGACATTTAGAAAATACAGTATAAATGGAAAAAGAGGAATGCAAAATTAAATATATAATTTCATTATAACAATGTAAAAATGAAGTTTGTAGCTATAAGGACTGGAAGGTACCAAAAGGAGATGAAAACAGTTGCTGCAAGGTAAGATTATACATGGAATTTTTAAATACATTTATATTTTATTTTATAATATTCTAAAAAGTCAACAACAAATACACATACACACAGTCATGGCCCCAGAGGAAAAACGTGAACAAATGGATTGAACAATGTTTGGTTGATTGGATACCTCATCAGGCCAAGGATAACTGATAACCTAGCTGAGGTCCTCTGGGGCAGAGCTTTTTAACGTGTGATCCTGGGACCAGCAATATCAATATCAATCTGGGAACTTGTTAGAATTGCAAATTGTAGGTTAACCTCGGATCTACTGAATTTGAAACTCTGGGACTAGGGCCCAGCAATCTATGTTTTAATCAGCCTTCCAGAGAGTTCTGATGTCTGCTCAAGTTTGAGAACCACTGCTCTCAAGTACTTTTCCATTCTGATACCCATGTTATCTCTCCCAAGTAGTATCGTCACTGTTTATAAGAGTTCCATATTACTTACTAGGCCAAGTCCAAAGTGTTCACCTGACAGTCAAGGCTCTACTTTTGCTGCTGAATTTTGTCTTTATGTCTGTAGCTAGTTAACATAAACTGTGCTTATGTGCTAAGTACTTTATGTACATGATCTCATTTAATCCTCATAACAACCCTCTAAGGTAGATAATAGAAATAGCCCCATTTTATAGATGAGAAAACTGATGCCAAAGGAAGTCCAAGATCATACAATTAGTGAATGATGAAACAAGAATGACTTCAGAGCACATGTTCTTCAGCATTACTGAGGTTCAGAGAAGTAACCTAATTGGTCACAAAGATAAGTAATAGACCTGCTATAGGAACCTAGGCCTACCTGATTCCAAAGCTTGTTTGCTTTGTAATCACAAAGCTCTTTGCTAGGCAGGACCATTTGCTCACTGTCTTGGAACATGGCATTGCCAGGAATCATGCTGTTGGCTCATACCCACTGTCTATCCTCTCTGCCACTAACCCACATCCCATAGCTCTCCGCAAGGTCTTCCATGGTGTGTCTCTGAGATCCCTGGCCAGAATGGGTGCTTCCTCCCTTCTCTGAACCCCCGTGGTGCTCTACATGCATCTTTTTCACAGTATCAATTCCTACTCTGACTTATAGCTATGCACCTGCTCCTTCAGGGGAGGTGGTGGTCTAAGTGGTGTGGTGTCACCAGTGACAGACAGAACAGGTGTTGACTGAATCAACTGAGGTATCTTTTATGTGGCTAAATTCATTCTTCAGATATTTTACGTGTCTTATCTGCCCAGCCAGAGGAGAGTAAGCTCCTTAAGAACATGGACCAAATCTTTTACTAATTTTATATTTTCAGCTCCAGGCTAGGTACAGTCAAGTCTATAATATATGCTTGAGTTCAAGTAGAACGCCACTGGTACACAACTCTGGTATAAATTTTTCTACTACTTAAACTCTGCAAGGATGCAGCTTATATTAATAGGGGAAAATTGGGTACTACACAAATAGATACAAGCAACTCATTTTTAATAAATAGAAATAGTAGACAACATCATTAATAGTGTTAAATAATAATCAATACAATTTTATGAGCACATTTCTCTTCTGAAAATTTGTTCAGATTTCCATGTAATTGGGAAAAAATCACATTCTATCTTTAAAAAATATTGAGACTATTATATGCTTTCATTATGGCTCTTTTAAAATGAAAACATACAATCTTTAAAAATCATAGCACAAACCCCAATGTCTCTCATTAAGGAAAATGTAGATATTTTCATTCCAAATATTGATCATCTATAATAGTCATTTATCTAGTCCAACAATATGCTTTTAACAGGAAAAAATAGCTCTCATAAATATTCTAACGCCTACCACATACCCAGAAAGCAAAGATACAGAAAATCAGAATATGTATTTCAATAATACTTAAACCTTGAAAACTAGATTTATAAACTTTTAGGAAAAAGACCATATATAAGCCAAATGCCACTTTTCTTAATTCATAAATTGTTTTATTTAATTATATACACAGAGAAAAATACCAAGCCATAACATATTTTTAACAAACTGGAAGACAAGATTAAAAGTATGTAACAATAAAAACAAATAAATAAAGATGATCAAATTATCACAGCCTTTGTGTAGTTATTTATTCCAATCCAATCCTTACACTGTACCCACATGGTCTAACAGTAAATATACAACAAAAGATCTGATGAGCTTGGCGATCGTCTCTAAATCTAAATCAATGTACTACCACTGAACAGACAGCGTAAACTTACCAGCTCCACAGATCCATAATGTTTCCTACTGAAATCCCCACGTCTACAGCCTAGGTCTTCCGAGACAGAGCTGGAACAAAAATGCTTCATCAGTATTATACATAGCGATCTGGCCACAAACCTTCTGCAAAAATCAACTACCATTTGCAAAAAGGGCTGCTATGGAAGAGACTTGCAGTGCCCCGGCTCCTCACTGCAGGGGAGCCTCCTTGCAACAGACACAGTCCCCAGCAGCCATTGCAGAGCCTGGCTTTCATGGAGCCCTCAATAAAAACCAAATGCCAGAGTCATCCCTGGAAGTACAGGCAATGATTGAATTAAATATTTAGTCATTTGGAATCGATTGAAATTTCCAAGGCTACTGGTGGTTTATAATTTCATTTCTGTATAACCAGAGAGGAGAGAAGCCCTGCAGTAAACTTGAGGCAAGGGACAAAGCTGCTGAACCGGATCTTGCAATTATCTTTCGTTTAAGAGAGCCTCTTTGTCCCAAATATGCAACATAAAAATAACCAGCATTATTTAATGCTATATTTTAAGTAAGAGAAAGAAACTTCACAATCCTGGTAGGCTCCACCCTCTATCCCCCTTTAATTTAGGATTTTTATGTGGCAATATGAAAAAGACCAGAACTAACAGAAAATCTAGTGTCCAAGTATTTTCAGCTTTTTACATAGCAGCAGCTACCCACCCCCAAAAAAGGCTTACATCAGATTTCAAAAATCACATGTTGTTGAAGAGCAATTAAAACAAGGGCAAAATTGTTACTACGTTTTCATCCTGAATGCACAGTTGCACACTCAAAAGTCACATATCTTATTAGTTAGTATATTTAGCACCCAAGCAATACTCATGAAACCACATGAGATCCACAAAATATAAACAGTTTTAATAAGTTTGGTTCTAATATGTCATGCAAATAACTCTACAATAACATAGAAAATAAAATTATATAGGAATAACATGTTTACTAGATTCAAAATATTTGGGATCTAACATGCAAAGAAAGGTGCATTTAGTACCTTTTCATCCTTCCTTAAACGGTAGGTTACATTTTCTAAATTACAGCCCTCTTGGCACATGCAGAAAGAGACTGACTCTGATGTTTAGCAAGCAGAGAACTGACTCTCTGCCAGGACACTGTTTGACAGGCTCCAAGAAAGACAGCATGAGAGAAATGAGATTAGAGAGTCTAATGGTATTCTGCTTCCACCATCTCATAGAGATGGCTGAATTAATCTTATATGAGAAATTTAACCTTTTGTAGTCTTCTCTCTCTTAGCTGAAAATGGGCAACCAATCAATGCATGCAGTTTGAAAGAGTGTTCCAGAAATTACCCAGGCTACATTCTTGCTTTTAGCGATAAGATTTGCTACCCAAAAATCTCCAAAAAAGAATAAAAACCTTCCCTCCATGGTCAATTCCAGTCTGTATTAAATATGTCCTCTATGCCCATTTTCTTAGCCCATTTTGAAAACCTTCCTGGAAGCTACTGCCATTGCCCTACATATCAGTCACCAAGCCTGCATGACTGGCCGCTCCAGTGAGAGGAGTGCTGGTGCACTTGGATAGAGATTGGGCACAGAGCGGATGCCCAATGGCTGTTGACTAAATGTTCTGTCTGCCCAGAGTTCAACCCGACGCTTCAATTTCAGCCAGGCCCACTAGGAAATCAACAACAGCAACAGCTTCTAACATGAATAGCTGAGAACACGAAAAAAGTGAGGACGTGGAGCACTGGGTCCTCCCTGTGCTGCCATCAGCTCTGCTGAGGGGGTTCTGAGACATGGTGCCAATTCCCTAACTTTACCAGCAGCCAGACACAAACACATAACCCTACATCCTAGACCCACCACCTTCCTTAGATGCCTCACAGAAGGAAAACAATGTCCTATGAAAACAACCAGGGAGTGAGCTATAAAGAGAATGTCCACTGTGTGCTGCCCTCCCTTCCCCCATATTACATTTCATTCAATATACTGCAGAGGGATGCTTGCTAATAGTGGGAACCAGGCTGACCTATATGGGCTGCATTTCTTGGGTTGTAGGAGGCACTCAAACCAGCCAGTTAAAAAGATCTAGCCACTTCCCTCTTCCCTTCCTACGCTCTCTGGCCTCTAGGCCTCCAGCACAAGGGTTATGAGTAGAGTGGCTCACCCAGAGCTCCAAAGGGAGCTTTGTTCTCCTCCCAAGGCCTAGTGTCTGGCCTACTGCCTGGCACATAGTGGACATGCAGTAAATGCTTATTGCATTAATGAAGGTATTTGTATATCTTTTGAATCATACTAGCTAAAGACTGACAGCACCTCTTCTACCAGGGCAGGCTGCCCACTGCCACCCCCACTAATGAGCCATTATTATTCCCTGCTGGTCATTACTCCCTCAGTCCAGAGTCCTGGCCTATAAGGCAGCCACCGTTATGTGCATGCCAAAACCTGTCCTCTTTTTGTCTTGGGCTTGGATTACATTTTCCAGTCCCTCTTGCAGGATGTGTGGCCATGTGACTGAGCTCTGGCCAAGACAACACAGGCTGAAGTGATGGATATGCATCACTTCCAGCACATCCTCTGAAATGTGCCTCATCTCCTAGCCTATGGCCAGCTGGACGGAGAGGCTGTAGAGACCTGCAGGAGGGCAGAGCTTCAAGATGGAAAAACGTGGGTCTCTGATTGACCACAGGGAAGGCCACACCATGAAGAATGTCTGTATGGAAGGCTACACCATGAAAAACATCTGTACTAGAATATGATGTGAGCAAAATGTAAACATTTAGTTGTGTTAATCAGGTAGAATTTGAGTCTACCTGTTAAAGCTGCCGTTTTACCTGAACTAATACAGAAGTGCCGTAATAACAACAACCTAAAGTAGTAGGCAGGCAGCAGCCAGTGAGGAAACGGATCTCAGAGGCTGAAGAGATAGAAATCTATATTAGATGGTAGCAAAATATTTGGTAAAACTTACACCTGCAGTCATTCAGAAGGTGGACCATGTACTCAGCGAGCCTGCAGCTCTAGGGAAAGTGGCTAGAAACAATCAGAGTGAAGTTGAGCACTGGCTCCTCTTGGCTGAACTTAACAAGGTTCTTCACAATGAAGAGACAAGCCCAGGAAAGAACTGGAGGGGTTTCAAGCAAAGATAGACAAAAACAGAACGAATCGAGAGACCAAGGGCCTCATGGACTTGAGAAATCAGTTTCTGGATCCCAAACAATAACAGCTCTGGCCAAAGAAATATGGGTAGAAATGAGGGGCACCTCTACCAGACCCAGCCCATAAAAACTTCCCATGAAGGCTGGGTGCAGTGGCTCACGCCTGTAATCCCAGCACTCTGGGAGGCCGAAGGGGGAGGATTACCTAAGGTCAGGAGTTCGAGACCAGCCTGACCAACATGGAGAAACCCTGTCTCTCCTAAAAAAAAAATACAAAATTAGCCAGGCATGGTGGTGCATGCCTGTAATCCCAGCTACTTGGGAGGCTGAAGCAGGAGAATCACTTGAACCAGGGAGGCGGAGGTTGTGGTGAGCTGAGATTGCACCATTGTACTCCAGCCTGGGCAACAAGAGCAGAACTCCGCCTCAAAAAAAAAACAAAAACCCAAAAACCAAAAAACCTTCCCATGAATAATCCTTGGTCTCTTTTCTTATCTGCTAGCTTCATAGAGAGGACTCTGGGGCCGAAGAGGGATACAGCCACAATATGAAGGCGTCTGGGTCTTAAATGACCACATAGAAGATTCTAACCAGGAGTAGCCTCACTGGACTCTGATATGAGTGAGCAATAACTTTTTATTGCCTTAAGTCACTAGGAGTCAGGGTTTACCTGTTACATTAGGTAATTTTATCTTAGTTGATACAGCTCTCCATAGGTAATAGAAAGTAGTGTAAGAATAAGGTCCACAAACAGGGTTTGTCAGAGGGCTGGTGGACCAGGATGACTCTAGATCAGGGATTGGCAAACTACAGCCCAATTCAGCCCACCGCTTGTTTTTGAAAACAAAGTTTTATTGGAACATAGCCATGCCCAATGGTTATGAACTGTCTGTGGTTGCTTTTGGATTATAACAGCCCCGAGTTGAATTGCTCCAACAGAGACCCATAGGGCCCACAAAGCCCAAACTATTTACAAACTGACCCTTTAAAGAAAAAGTTTGCCGACCCCCGTAGTATAGTCTCCCGAATCCCTGCTGTTGGTTTTAGGCCTACCCAGAAACTGATTTCACTGATTAGTCAGTGAAAAAAATTCTGACACCATGTCAGAGGACATGTTGCTCAGACTAGAGTCTGAGCTTTGCAAAAATGCAGATTCCCTGGCCCTATTCTGAGAGGTTGTAAGTCAGTTAATCTGTGATTTTAATAAGCAGCCAGGGGAATCCTGATGCAGGTGGTCCACAAACAATGCTTTGAAACATACTCCTTTTCCAGATGACTCAGGAATCCTGGGAAACCTGTTAACCACTCTGCAGCACTCTTTATAAGGAAGGACAAGGCCTTAATCCAGGTTTCTATCCACGGGAGGAGATGCAATGTAGTCCCTCAAAGCATGGACTTCAGTCACAGATATGGGTTCTCAACCTCTCCGGGCATTAGTTCCTTCATCTGTATAATGCAATTGAAAATATCATCTACTTAGCAGGGTTATAAAGAATAAACAAGAAAAAGCAGACAAGGTTCTAAGCACAATGTCTGTTGCCCAGGCTTGAGTGCAGTGGTTTAATCATAGCTCACTGCAGGCTTGAACTCCTGGGTTCAAGTGATCCTCCTACCTTAGCCTCTTGAGTAGATGGGACTACATGCCTGGTTAATTTAAAAAATTTTTTTTGTAGAGATGGGGGCGGGGGGGTCTCACAATGTTTCCAGGGCTGGTCTCAAACTCTGGCCTCAAGTGATCCTCCCACCTCAGTTTCCCAAAGTGCTGGGATTACAGGTATGAGCCACCACATCCAGCTAGCTCTTATTAGTAATATGAATGCCTCTTGGGTTTTTAGAAAGTTGGCGTTAAGTGGTTACTAAATTTTAAAATAATTTTAAATAAAATGCTTTGCCTCTTATCCCTGAGTAGCAGTAAGGGAGA